TCCGACCGGTGACACGCATGAAATGTGTAGAAGAAAATCTCTGATGTCGGAAAACTGGGCTTGTTTTGCCATAACCAACGTATGTTGTTGGCTGCACGTGTGTGACTTATGTCGCATATGCTAGGGGAGAGTAGCACGCAAAGTGGAAATTTCGTTCACCTAGGTTTAAGGATGATTTCAGTGTAAATCTACATGAATCGATCCGCGCGTCAACCGCCGACCAAAGTCCAAACCAAGAAAGGGAAAGGTGCAGAGGCGTGGGAGAGTGCTCGAGAAAGATGTATATGACCAGTAATTTCAGGAGGTAATGTGGGATCACGTGACGAAATGTGAGAATCGTTACAGAGTATATCAGTCAGGACGGTGAAATTGGTGAGTCCACATGGTGCCCATCGGACCGGAAATACGTGGTCGGGCGACGCGTCCTCCGACGCGCATGATGCGTGGGTGGGAGCGTGCATTCGAAAAGGAAAGGCTATCATATCGGGCTGAGAAAACCCTTATGAACCTCGAGCTGAAAGAAAGAAAGGTGGATTGAACCAATAGATAACGAACTTTCACCAATGAAGGAAACTCCGAGGCGAAAAACCGAAAAACGGCCGAAAACCCACTGAACGCGAAAACTTGGCAGAAACGAGAGAAACATGTCCCGTGTCGCTGAACATCCAGATGCCCCCCGAACGACGAGAACCGGGAAACCAACAGACGAGAAACGCGTACCGCTCAGCGAATCACTAACTATTTAGTTGGGGCAATTCTGAATTACGTGTCCCCGACCATGGCACTTATGGCATTGGACAAAGGGGCAGACACGGAACGAGTGTTCGATATCTGCCCCGGTCTTGCCGGCACGGCGGCAAGTGTTGCACAAAGCGGTCTGTCTGCTAAACCCGCTGCCACCCCCTCGGCTACTGCGGCCGCCAGAGGCCCTGTGTCGCCCCCCGGGTCCCCGGCTCGGGGTATAGTGCCCCCCCTGTGGCTGCATACCATAGGGGCTATATCCCCCAAAATGCGGGGTAAGGGCCATGGGCTGCATGGGGGGTGGGCTCCAAGGTCCGGCTGGAGCTGAGGAATGCTTGGGCCCCCCCAGAAACTTGGTGATGGCCGACAGCTCTTTTACCACCTGGCCACGATCTGTTTTACGACCCTCCTCGGTTTGGGACATGAGTTTGTCATGTACCCATACCGCGGCCGCATCCGGGCGGCCGCATTGCATCGCCGCATCAATACCCACGGCGAGCGTGTCGACAAACGTGCGTTCGTCCGTCAGCTCGGGGTCCATAGCCGCTAGCCTAGCTAGCTCCTGGACCTTGGTTTTGATCTCTAGCACCCGCTGGTGCTTGACGGAGGCGTCGAAAGTCGTGAGCCCGCTTACACTGGTAAGCAAACCCGTCCACAGGGCTGCGAACTAAAAGGGAAGAATTGCGAAAAAAGAAAGCCGCGGAAAGGGCGAGATAGCAGAGAAACGCTTGAGAAAAACCGAGTGGAAAGAGACGGCGAGAAGAGATACCCGGAGAGACGGGTAAAGCACATCGGAACCAGACACGCGAAGAAAAACGCCGGATAAAACCGAGCTGAAAACGGTGAAAGAAACAACCCTGAGAGAGGGATAGCTGACACAACGGAGAAACGGTTGAGAAAAAATCCACTTGAAACATTTGAGATAGCGGAGAAAACGCTCGAGAAAAGAAACCGAGCTGAAAACCGGAGATAGCGGAGAAACGTCAGAAAATAGCGGAGAAAACGCTCGAGAAACCGAGTGGAAAATGTGAAACAGTGGAGACTGGAGAGAAACCGAGTTGAAATACGGCGAAAGAAAGAAAAATTGAGAGAGGGTAGCGGAGATAGCGGAGAAACGTTTGAGAGAAACCGAGTTGAGAAACGGTGAAAGAAAGAAAAAACACCCGAGAGGAGGGTAGCTGAGATAGCAGAGAAACGCGTGAGAAAACCGAGCTGAAAAACGGTGAAAGAAAGACAAAACCCGCGAAATGGGTAGCTGAGATAGCGGAGAAAACGGTGAGAGGGAGAAAAAACCCGAGAGATGGGCAGCGGAGATAGCGGAGAATCGCTTGAGAAACCGAGCTGAAAAACGGCGAAGGAAAGAAAAAACCCTGAGACACGGGTAGCTGAGATAGTGGAGAAACGCTTGAGAAAACCGAGCTGAAAAACGGTGAGAGGGAGAAAAAACCCGAGAGATGGGTAGCTGAGATAGCGGAGAATCGCTTGAGAAACCGAGTTGAGAAACGGTGAAGGAAAGAAAACACAACACCCTGAGACATGGGTAGCTGAGATAGCGGAGAAACGCTTGAGAAAACCGAGCTGAAAAACGGTGAGAGAGAGAAAAACCCGAGAGATGGGTAGCTGAGATAGCGGAGAATCGCTTGAGAAAAAACCGAACTGAAGCGGAGAAACGCTTGAGAAAACCGAGCCGAAAAACGGTGAGAGTGAGAAAAAACCATGAGAGATGGGTAGCTGAGATAGCGGAGAAACGCGTAGGAAAAGACGGGCCGAGACAACCAAATCGAGGTGAAAACGGTGAGGGAAAGAAAACGCCGGACCTACGACAGTGGAAACATGTTCCAAACAGGATGGCTGCCATGCGGCGCCCGTAGCGCTTTCTAAAACAAAGTGGTACATCCCGCTTTCTTCGCCCTGCGGGCCCAGCAGGTGGCGAGAGGCGGTACCTGAAACTGCCTCCGAACGGATCGCACAAGGAGAAATATATTTATAGAGAGAGAGAGATGTCGGCTTCTTGAAGAACAAGATATATATAGGCTTTGAAGAACAATATGTATATATATCAATATATAATAATATGCATAGAAATATTAAATATATAAATATACATGCATAATAATATATTATATATTTACATATTGTTCTGCCAAAGTCGACATGTTGACAGAAAGAGATGCCACGGAGAGAGCAACCGAAAGAGTCCCTCACAAACGAAAATGAAACGTGATGTATAGCAGGGGAGAAGAGAAACGAAAAGGGGCTAGCGCGCGGAGGCGGCATGCCCTCACCCAATAGATGTTGTGGGTGTAAGTTTCAAGTAGGTTGTAGAAATGACGGGTGCAAGTGCGCGACGAACAAGCAATTTTACAAATCCGAGCGTGTGACGCCGCTCACGGATAGCCCAAAAGAAAAGACACCTACCATAGACACCTACCACCTACCATAGAGACAGAAACTAGATGGCGACCCACGTCCCTACGTACGGCTACACAGCAGTATCTCCTAAGCAAGAGCACACCGGCAAGAGGCGGGCGCCGTGAGGAGAAGAAAAAGAGAGGATGTTGAAAACGAACAAATATATGTCGAGCGGGCGTTCCCGAAAGGAAAATCCACTCATATTGTAAGCACCACGTGATGAAACCCACGGGCAGCCAGCTATGGCCTGCGTCGAAGAAAATGACGGCAGGGAATGCTGAGAGAGAGCACGACGAACGAATGCTGCAGTGCAGAAATCCATGAGGGACGGGGAGAGACGACGACTGCTGTGGGACGTGGGCCGGCCGAAAACGAGCAAGAACCATATAATGTCTACAAGACTCACCTTGCTGGAAATTGTGGTGTACACGAGCGACTTCTTCTTCACTCGAGGCTCGCGATCCCCGGCCACACTCTCCTCCTCCAGGTCCGCCACGGCTCCAGAGATCTCCGACCGGAGGCGCTTGCCCGCGGTAGCCTCGCCCGCGGTAGTGGCGGGGGAAGACGGCGAGGCAGCCGCTGCCGCCGCAGCCGACGTGGATGCAGAGGAAGGGGAAGAGGGTGTGCTGCCGGCCCTTGCTGAAGGGGCGGAAGAGGGTGCTCCTTCTGCTGCTGAAGGTGCGGTCGCCAAGGTGGGAGGAGCCGGGAGAAGAACCGCGGTCGCCGATAGCCGGAGACCGCCGTGGTGGTCGCAGCGCCACAGGTACTGGAAGGAGGGCCTGGGCTAGGGCCGCCTTCATGCGGGCGTCGCCCACGGCCACGGAGTCGGCATTCCCACGCGCGGGAAGGCCGACCGCCATCATGCCAGGCTTGTCGCTGGCTGAGCCGGCGTCGACCAAAGCGCCGAAGATCCGGCACAGGTCGTCTAGGGAGGCTGTTTCCAGCTGCCGTCCGTGCGGTAGCACGCCCAGGCGGGTCAGGTCCATGACCCGCTCACCGCCGTTGCCACTCTTCGGCGCGCAGAGGTCGTATAACTGCTCGATGACTGCCTCGGGTCCTGGCGCGTGGAGGGCATCTAGCTGGAAACTCGGCACCGTTGCCATGATGAACCGGGAAGAAGAGAAACACAAACAGGGGAAAGGAACTAATCCCAGAGGGACGGACGGTCGCGGTCGCCGCTCGAGGAGAGCGGAGGGCGCGGACGGATGATGAGCGTCTCAAAAAGGAGACTCTCCTTTCCTCTGTTTTCCTGTCTTGCACAGGTTTGACAAAAGGAAGTGAGAGTGTGTTCTTCCTCCTCCTTTGTTCTGGATCTTTACGTCTGGAGAATTCTTAAATCGTGCCTCTTTCTTCATTTCCTGTTTTGAGAATCCACGTATGCGTAGATGGTACTGCTTGAACTCACTGAGTCGTTTGGTGGTGTTTTGGTTTTAGGGCTCAAAATCGGGATGAAGGCAATAGTAAGGACGGCGAACTGCTCGTCTTGGAGCCGTTTGGTTGTGGACGTAGTATCCAGAGAGGGAGTGAGTGGCATATTTCCCCCCCCCCGCAGGGGCAAAGCTTAGCAGCACACCGTCCAAAAATTCAAATGTTTCGTTGCGTGCGTGCATCCGTCGGTCTACGGCGTGTACTTCAACAAAAAAAAAAGATCGATTCGTTGTGTTATACTGAGCCGAGCTCGTTTTACTTGTATTAAGAAAAATAAAAAAAGAAAGAAAATGATCGAAATTTCACTACGGAAATGCCATGGCACGGAGCACTACTTGCGCACTTCTGTCCAAGCGCGACCTACCTCCACGTGTGAAAAAAGGCACACAAACGCAGCGTCGTCTGCACTGCTCTGTAGGATGAAAACGCGCAGTTCTGTTCTGGTGAGTTGATTCTGTTCTTGGAGGAAACACACTCAAGCGTTGGCACCCATACTTATTCCGGTGCACATACACAGTACGGTGGTGGAATGGAAATTTAGCGAAAATCTGATTGGTATACGTATGTCCCCGTAGAAATTAACCGTGCACATAATCCACCCATTCAGCACATCGAGGGTTGGGGATGGCGAGGTTGCGCTTGGTCTGTTGCGGCACCTCTGGCGGAGTGCAGCGATGCATCCGCATGGAGTTCGCTAACTCGATGCGTAGGCCCGCGCACTTTTTTAAGTGTGTACGGGGTCATTGGTGCTAAGGCCGGCGTTTGTTTGCGTTGGGCTGATACTGTAGGCAATCACGAAAATTAATTCGATGGGGAAGGATGGTTGTTCAAAAGACCGCTGTTTCATCCATCCGCTCCCGCCTCCGGGGCGTCAAACATAGATACACGAATGCTAACGGACACAAACAAGAGATGCACCCATTTGACGCGCTCGCCCGAAGATAGCACAGGTGGTCAGCCCCGCCCCCATGTATGAGGACCTGTCCGCGAAGACCGTCCAACCATCCAACAGCGACGTAGGCCCCCATCCAAGCGAGCACAACCTAGCACCCCACCCTTTGCAACACTACCAACGTCCGACACGCGTTGCAGACCAACTTGTTTCCCATCCAGCCTCAACATATCTAGCACCTATGCCGGCTCTATCAACCCAACCCCCACCCCCACGCCAACCTTTCGTGTGGGATTGGGGTTAGGGCTAAGGATAGCGTTAGGAGTCAGACCGGTTTCTGCAGGTATGCCGCAGCTATCGCCTGAGAAACACGTCACGGATGAAACTGCACATGCATGCACGGGATTGGTGCCAGCGTCCGGCCAAGACTAATGAGACGTAGAGCCACCCCTGGCGTGGGGCAGGACTTAGGTTCGAGACTGAACACATCTTCTTCCTGCTGTCTGTCTCCCTCATGCGGGGGGGGAGGGGGGGGGGTTCTCGCCCCACAAAGAGTCTGGGTGCATGTCCTTGCTTGCGCTTGCCCCCCTGACTTGTGTGCATCAGACGTATTTTTCACACACACCGTCGCACCAAACCGAACAGTCCAACTCGGCCATGGCACCATGCATTTTGTGGCCCACAGGTGGACTATTCGGACCCGGGAGCTCTCTCGCTGGCCGACATTCGCGGCGGCGGCGGTGGGCCCGCGGCCGGCGTTGCCGCTTCCGGTTCCGCCTCCGCCTCCGCCGCCGCGTCGAAACCCTCGGGGAAGGAGAAGAAGAAGGCCGAGAAGAAGAAGACGGTGGAGAAGGGAAGGCCGAAGAAGGCTACTCAGGCGGCTGCCGGCTCTTCGGCAACCGCCGCCGCCGCCGCCGCCGCTGCCGCTGGCAAGAAGAGCAAGGCATCCTCCTCCGCCTCCGGCAAAGCTTCCTCCTCCCCTTCGCCATCCTCCCGGGCTAAGAAAGCGGACCCGGCGGTGGCGGTGGCGGTGGCGGCGGCGGCGGCGGCATCGAAGAAGGACGCCAAGAAGAGCGGTAAGGCTGCTGCTGCTACCGCTGACAAGAAGACGAAGAAGCCACCGGCAGCGTCGGCGGCGGGTACGAAGGGCGGCGGCGGCGGCGGCGGCGGCGGTACCAGCCGCGGAAAGGGCGCAAAAGCAGCAGCAGCAACTGCAACAGAGGCGACGACGAGATCGAGAACCGTGTCCAGCCTGGAAGGTCCGGCGATGGCAGAACCGCAAGCCTCCTCCTCCTCCTCCTCCTCCTCCTCCTCCTCCTCCCCGGCGGCAACAAAGGGCAAGGGCAAGGGGAAGGTGGCGCAGCAGAGGGGAGCGAGAGCAGCGTCGCCTGCGACAAAGACGGCTGCGGCGGCGGCACGCGGGACAAGCGGCAAGCGAAGGGCTTCTACTACAGCCAGCAGCAGTAAGGTCGCCTCCAGCCCGTCCGGCGACGAAGGCGACGGGCGGGAAGAGGAACAGGAGGAACAGGATGACGTGCCCACCCCTCCCCAGTACGCCAACAAGGTGGCGCCGGCGCCGGGCGCCAGGGCTAAACGCGGCGCGTCTTCCCCTGCTGCTTCCGGGAAGGCAACTCCCGGGGAGACACCGTCCTCGAAGAGGAGACGGCAGACGAAAACCCCGTCGACCCCAGCCAGCGCTGTCGCGGGTGAGTCTTGTTTGTTGGTACATATAAATTGTAAACGGTGGGAGGTGACGGGAAATTTCACATAGATGCGCCGCGTTTTTTTGGGTTATTGTGCTGCTGCTACAACTGCTGTACGGTGGCGGTGTACTCGTTGTGTCAACGATCGGAACCTCTGCTGACGGCGGACTCAAGTCTAGCCATCGTGGATAAGATAGGTCTAAGTCTTGAGAAACGAATGACCGGCGTCGTTTCTCGGCGGAACGAAATAATGGCGAAATAGCCAACTCTGTAGTGCCTGATGCGGCAATTTCTGCCCCCGCCCACGTTCCCATCCCTCTACGCCGCGTTGCTTGGTTCTGAGTCTCCCCCCTCGCTCTGTTGGGGTTACATGCTTACGCCGCTTACGACGACCACTGCTGTGTGGTTATACAAGTGTATACCCCGCCTTCCTCTGTATGAATTCCACCCCCGCGCACAGTACACCCCCCCCCCCCCGTGTGTGTGCGCGCTTTACGACTTGTAACTTGTAGTACGCCCCCCCCCTTTGTTCCCTGCACTTCTTTTTCGCAGCAGTGCGCCCCTCGCGCGCACGCAGCACCCCTGCGACCGCTACCTCTGCTGATGTGTCCCCGGTTACCCCACACGCCACCGAGGCCCAAGAAACCTTCCTCTCCGAGCTGGAAGGCTTGCTCGGCGCCGCGGGGGCAACAACAGCAGCAACAGCCGGCGGCGGCGGCGGCGTTGGAGGGGGTTCCGCAGATGGAGGCGGGGCGGCGGCGGGGGCGGGGGTGGGGAGCGAGGCGGAGTACTGGAAGGGCATGTACGACGAGCTGGCGAGCTTGAGGCACACCATGCCCGAGGAGCAGCTGGCCCTGTTCAAGGAGCACGCGGCGGAGCGGGATCGCACGTCCGCCAGCTATATCGAGCAGCTCAGGTGCGTGCCCGGATGTTTTTTGTCTGTCCACTTGGAGCGTACATAGCGTGCGGCATTCCGTACGCGTATTCCGCCTGCAACGGTGGTGCAAGCAAGTGCGTGGTGATCCTGAAGAGATGTTTTGTGCCCGCCAGGGGGCACCGGCACTGCACCGGGCACATTCACACATTCAGAGAACGCGTCAGCTTCTTGTACGTCGTATTACGTACTCCATCCGCTTCGCGCGATTTGCACCAGTGCAAAGGTAGTACTGTCTCTATTTCGGTCCCCGGGAACTGTTCAACCGCCGGCACTGCTGCCGAGGGACTGTTCAACCCCCGCTGCTGTTGTGCAGTCCAGACGTACATACATACGATGTGGGAAGCAACATCGACAACAACACGCTATTTAGCAAGAAAAACAACTGACGCCGTGATTTATTGCTAAAGGCACCCCCCCGCCGCCCACCTGGTCCGGTGAGAACCCGGCGTGCTCCGCCCCGGCTTTGTAGAGATGCGAAGTCAATGGTCTAACGACCACGGCATGCACGACTATGAGTACCCCCCCCCCCCCCGGGGGCCCATCCCTGAACCCGGGAGGAAAAAAAATGGGGGGGCAGCGGAAAAACCTTCCCCCTCGGCGGCACCCGGGGCGGCAGCGGGAGCGGAGCCGGGAGCAGCGCCCGCGGCTGCGCCGGCGACTGTGGGAGCACCCTCGGCAGGGGTGGAGGAAGGGGAGTATTGCTCTTTCTCCGAGTCGTACGTCCGCGGCCTGGAGGAGAAGCAGGTGTACCACCGCAAGATCATCCGGCTGTACCAGAACCTGAGCTCCCTCGCTATCCACCCCAAGGAGAAAAAAAAAGGTACGTGAGCGAGGGGGTACATTGGGTGGGGAACAGGGGACGGCAGCAGGGCGGTTGCTTGCTTGCTCCGAGTAGTCGTGCTGCGCACACGCCTTGGCGAGCAGGGGGCGCGCGGGAGGAGATACATGAAGCATAACCCCCCAAGACTGGAGTACTGTATTTTTTTTTTTTTTTTGTCTTCACTTCAAATCAGCTCTCACAGCACTAGTGCCGTTTACTCCAACCCGTGGTCACACAGAAGAGCCCCTCTCTACCCTCCCCTCCTGCGGTACTTTGCCTACGATTTGTAATGCGAGAAGAGTTCAGCACTCTCTTCCCTCTGTGTACACACGAACTAGCGCTATCCACTAGAGAGGCGGAAGCAAGAGAAAAACTCAGTTTGCAAGAAAAGCTCGCATACGCCGGGATTCGAACCCCTGACCTGACCTCTAGAAGGTTTCGAGGATACCAACTAGACCACCGGGGCGACCGGCTTGATGGGCATGCTCGATATATACAACATGTAGATTTTGCTAATTTGTAACCACACGGAATCCTGCTCGATGGCCCATGAACAAAACTGGATTCAGAGCCCGAAAATCACTGGTGGCAAGGGGGAGAGGTAGCTGTGCTTCCTCCTGTGCGCCCCCACGTAGGGGGGGGGGGGGGCACGGTCGTCGTATCTGACAATATCCTTTCTAGCGTGAAAGTAAAGTTGTTTGTTTTTGTTTGTTCTTCTCATGCTATACGTTGGGGGGTGGGGGTGGGTGGGATTTCAGGATCGGGCGATGCCGGAGGAGACGCGGGGAAGAGGGACCTGGACGTGATTACGTGCACGGCCGTGAACCACGTCCACCGCCGTGCCGTGAGGTTTGACCTCAAGATACCCCACGAGGAAGACGTGGGCGACTTCGCCTACCGCGCCACGGGGAACACCCACCTCTTGCCGGAGTACATGCAGGTAAGATAGATAAGTGATACAGCAGTCGCGTGCGGGTATGTATGTACGTGCCAAGCGCTTTCACCGGCACCATTGCGGGTACCCGCACTATAGAGGGAACCCGACCGTACGGTGGTAATAGGCGTTATTTTTTTGGTTCTTGTGGTTGCTTTTTTTCTACCACGGCACCTTGGCTGCACGAAAGATACCACTGCTGTGCTAACTGATCGACCTCTTGGTTCCCCCTGCCCCTCCCCCCTGCTCGTGTGTTCCCCGTCCCGTCCCGTTTCCGTTTTATGGCTCCCCCTTTGTTTGTGCGTTCACAGCACCCTCTGCTGTTTACCAAGAACCAATGCCCGCTCTTCCTCACCAAGCTCCTCCAAAACCTGTTCCGAGCCTAGAGTGGGTGCGAAAGAGGCGTTTCCACGGATGGTTCTCTTCCGGGTCTAGCCGAGGAGGGAAGGGAGCCGACCATCTCTACGGCAGGCGTAGAGGCACACATGACGGGCCTGCCCGATTCATGTGTCATGTACATACATTCTCGAGCGGTGCGTAGGGTAGGGTTGCAATCGCGTAGCCCCCTATACCCACGAGAGAAAGCTGATAGGCTTGGCATCGATGCGCTGGCTCTGGAGCTGCTACCTTTTTTTTGTTTTTGTTCTTGTACTTTTCGGGGGGGGGGGGTTCCCTTATTCTTGACACCAAGTATCTCGTCAATCTCTCCTGCTGCCTTCGGCGTGCGGGGTCTGCCCCCGCCTTCTGTTTGCGGTAGTGCTGACTACATTGCGTTTTAATTATTTTTCAACAAACGAGTGCACGTTTGGTATTGGTTTCAAGAATGCAACATACACGGCTATTTTTTGCTGTTTTGGTTGCGCGGGTGGGGGCGTGGAAATGGAACTTGCGGTGGAACGAACCGCTGACATTGGTTTTATTTTATTCAAGGCTACGTTGGCGTAGGTGCATGTTGTTACCCCCCCTTCGGCATTGGCCAATCCGGGTGTTTGCACCGATTCTAGAAGAGAAAACTGCCGCGCCCATCATCAGCAGGAAGGGCAGGCACGCCACGGCTTTCACCACTAAAGGGCGAATGAGTGTGCACTTTTGGAGTTCCATTGTAGCGTTGGCGTTCGTTCCGATCGTTCCGATAGAGCATCTACAAGTGGGGCGATGTCCATGAGCCGTCCAAGGAGAATTTGGATGTGATCCATACCGACGATCACATACGATCACATCAATCTCGCAAGCTTACGGCGGGGGGGTCACCTTTGTGTTTGCTGGTATCATATTACCATCGAGGCTTGCCGTGATGATGATACGTATCGCCATCGAGTTTAATTCTTTGAAACTATGTACGGGCGCCTGTCAACAACTGCCTCCGAGGCGCCCTAGAACCCTAGAAGTACACCACTTTTTGTTTTTGTATCCCAAGATTGGTGTTCGTAAAATGGGAGAGCGGGGGGGGTGCGGGGGGGGTGTCAGTTTCGCCTGACCGTGTATGGTGAAATTCCGTACCATACATGGCAACATTCCGTACCATGTATGGCGTAATTCCGTTCCATACAACAGTAAACCCTTTACCGTGTGTGTAACAAGTACAGCTTTTGAGGAAGAGGGTGGATTTTTCGTGGAGGTCCGGTACGGTAGCCGTTTGCGCCAAGCCGGAGACGAGAAAGGTTTTTCTATTGTTTGGATTTTCACTGCATATCACGATGCATTTTTTGGCATGTAACAGTGTTTTTGTTCATCTCTCAAAAAAAGAAAAAAATCCAAGACGGGTTGTGCCGCATCGTATCTTGGCCAGCAGGCAGGTAGTGGGGGGGGTGAGGGGACAACGATACACGGGGGGGGGGGGGGGTTTTGGGGGGACCCCAAAAATCCCCCCCTGTCAAAAAAGGTGGGGTGGGGAAGAATTTCCGGGTTTATTTTTTGGGGGTTGGGGGGTGGGGGGGGAAATTTTAAAAGAAAAAACCGGGGGCGCCCGTTATTTTATTTTTTTTTCCCGAAAAACAAACCTTTTTTTATCCGGGAAACCCCCCCGAAGGCCAAATTCCCAACACACCACAATTTGGCCAATTTTTTTCCTATTCCGGGGTTTTGGGCCCGTTTCGCGAAATATTTACCCCCGGGGAAAAAAGGGGAGGGGACTTTTTTTCTGGGGGGGTTTTAGCTGCG